TTACTATAAACAGACTAAAGAAAAGGGTAAAACTTAGTCATCTTGCTAAGAAAACTAAAATGAATGATGTTAGGGTTAAGGATAGTGATTCAGAAAATATATATAACAAGTTCTTCAGAATTTATAATCCAAGAAGAGTTTTTATAGTTGAATTTTTTGCTCAAAGAATAGAATCGGACTTTAATGACCAAAGCACAAGTAATTTCTTTTTTAGGATTGACAAACTACGAAAAAATGCGTGCTAGATACTATATCAAAAGGAGTTTGACAAAACTTATAAGGTTATTTTTACTTTTTACTTTAATAATTTTTGTAATATCAATGATGAGTAAATATCAAACTAATCAAATTAACATTGGCAAAGTAATTTACAAATAGAAGCAAAAAGCTTTTTTCTTGTACTAAGTTGCCTCTACTTAATTTCATTTTGGTTGATAGCAAATATTTTGCCAAATTTACTTGCAGAATTCGTTAAAATTAACATTTATATATAGATGCTATTGACTCATGCTTTGTGATTTGATATATCTATTTTTAGAATATATATTTCTAAAGATATTTTATTTCTTCAATTTAATTGTATTGAGTCATATGATTATAAGTCCTGTATCATGATATAGATCAACTTTTGTCTGATTGGCTAATATAAATCAATTGTGAGTAACTTATTTTATATACTTTAAAGTACTTTTTGTGAATGCACATTTTACTAACAAAAAAATCACTGTAAAAAAATTCTAGCTCTAAACGAATGTATATATTCACTGTTAAAATTAATACCCAAATTTAATCATTATAACCAATGATTTCTGAAGATCATAGTCAATATATTTTATTTACTAACTCTCCAGATACAAGTTTTCTAATATTTACAAAAAGGTCCTCTAACGTAGACAAGTTATTACTGACAAAATTTTAAAGTACTATATACAATTCATTTTAGTAATGGTATTAAGTCACATGATGATAGTATTGCAATTAACTTATTATGAAATTGGTGTGAAAATTATAATAGCATTAAATGAGTTTTTGTAATTTTTGGTTGGCCAGGATTGCAAAGTTCTCAGAAGCTATTTTCTTCAAGCTTTTAAACATTAATTTTAAGTGTTTATTAATTGATAATTCTCTAGAGAACTGATTAATTATCTTAGTATAATGCAATATGGTTCTATATATAAATCTCTTAAGACAGAAATGTAGCATTCACACAAGAAAAACTTTTTTTCTTACTAAGTAAATCATCTTTGGGCTTCTAATAAAAGTTGTAGAACTCATCAAGACGCATCTAATGGTAGTAAGAACATTAAAATTGGCTTGGTGGTTCTTGAGAAATCTTTAAAAAACGTT